TGCCAGCCACACCATCATCTTTAGGTTGATCCTCATATCGCTTCTGCCACAGCACCACCTGCAGTTTCTCTAGGATAGTGTTTTCCTGGGATGATAGAGGAAGAGAAACTGTAACTTTGCTCCTGGTTCCATCTGTGAATATTCACAGGTTTCACCCACAAACTTCCCCAAACTTTTGTTATCTATAAAGACCACACCAGCTCACTCAGAAAGCCAGCTAAAAATGTCACTTCTGGTCCAATTGGGGAGGGGACCAGAGAACACTACAGTTCACCTTTGTTTTGGCAAGTGTCATTACTGCCGAAGTGAATTATTATTTTGTGAAGTTTACATTTATTTGCAGTTTCAGGTTTCCATTCAGTGCTGTGTGCGCTGGCCCCTGGTAATTGGCTGCTTGTGTTTCTCACTTCAGGTTTGTCAAAACGGAACTGGCAATAATAATAGTTTTTTCTTTGGTGTGTGTGTCACAGAGTGCCAGAAAATGATGTGAAATGTGAACATGTTGGTGGCGTACTGGGGGCTTTTATTTAAAGGAGGGGAACTTAAACAAAGGGGGCTTTTCCCCTTTTTTTTTTCCTTTCCACCGCAATGCTTTCCAAAAAAAAACCCCCCCAAGTTCGGGGCGCCTGTTTTTTTTTTTTTGCTGGGCGAAAAAAGGGGCTACTGGTACAGGTGCCTCGCCTTAGGAATCTCTGTGTTTAGGTTTTTAATGATTTCTTTGAACTCTTCCACTTTCAAGGTGAAATGATTGTAAAACATGCATCCTTAAGGAGTTTACAAAATAAGAACTGCGTGTACAAATGTGAATTTCTTTTCTTCTCTGAATTCTCCGTAATTCAAACAGGATCAGAAGAGAATCGTTGCTTTTTGTTAAGTTTACGGACATGACTTATGAATTACATCTATATGAGCCTTTACACCAAGGTCCTGTTTTACCAAAATAGTGCCGTACAGCTTGTCACACTGTTGCTTCGCCAGTCAAAAGGGAAGTGTCAACTCAAGAGTCACATTTGTATACATCATCACACGTCTTCATTAAATGCATTTCCTATACTTCAGACCAAAAACGTGAAATCAGTCAGTAGGGTAGCAAAACAGTTAAAATCTTTTTCCTTTATAAGCATCAGCAGTTAAGACATCTTAACACAAATCAATGCTGAAAGGTTGATATCTCAAATGCCTTTTAAGACACACAGAAATTCAGTTTTCACATATTTTTTTGTATGAAACACTGCTGACATTCACGCTGTCCATGTGTTGTGTTGAGTTCAGGCTTGTATTGATTTTTTAGCTTAGCAGAAGCTGCTGTGGTTCACGAGGACTTGGATCTATGACACGCTGTCAGAATCAAAGCAACAGCTTACTGGCTTAACTCACTGCTGTAGCAATGTCCAGCTGCTTCTTCCTGCTCTTTCACTTGTTGAATGTTGCCTCTCCAGGACACCATCCTCACCTGGGACCGAAAAGTCTTACTGAGGAAAAAGTAAACAACAGGGTCCAGACAGATTTTTTTTTACTATGCCAACCCTTTTAGGTTTGTTACGGCCCTGGCCGAAACTGGAGTCCTAGGGGTCTCTTGTTTCTGTCTGTGTCTTTAAGAGTCCACAGGTCCTTGCTCATTGGAGAGCTGGCGGCTGCTGATTGGTCCCCTGATCTTGTGACTGCTTTGAAAATCCCTCAGCAGCAGTTGACCTGTGGCAGCCACTGGTTGTGTCCCAATTCAGGGTCTGCAGCTTGAAGTACGCGCACTACGTACAGTGCGTACTATAAGTACGAGAAGTGCGGAAGTGAGAGGCTTGTGAAATGGGACGGTCTAGCCTTCGTCGCGCTGTTCAGGTTGCCTAGCAACCATGATACTAACCGCGAGAAACGTTACATACAGCTTTGTTTGACAGAAATGAAGGAGAAAAATGTTTTGTTGGTCATTCATTTTTGTCATGACATCACTTTGATTAGTTGAGTATCTGAGGCTGAGACCACAGGACTGTAAAACATGATTGTTGGGCTTCATTTCTGTGCTGAACAGTCATTTAAGATTAGTTAGTAAATAACAATTAGTTAATGTTGTTCATGAGACTAAAGTCATCTCACTGTGGTAATGTAAATATAATATGGCCAATATTATAGTATTGTCAGATTATTATGATATATATATAGATTATATTTATATATATTAGGGGTGCAACGATACACAAAATTCACGGTTCGGTTCGATACTTTGGTGTCACGGTTCGATATTTTTTCGATACAAAAAAATGTTCATGCTTTTTTAATTTGTCATTTATTAAAATTATAAATATATATTTTAACTCAAAAGTACAGTTTTTAAATTTAATGTTGCTGAAACAACAAAGATAAAATAATAAATCTATCTGATCGAGAAATCACTCATCTTTGGAAAAGAGAGTTTATTACAGAGAAATGGCTCTTTCCAAAATAAAAGCTATACTATACGCTTCTTCTGGGCTATATTCTCAGCAGCATATTAAACATATCAGGTCCCCATAAGGAGAATCATGTGCTAACGGCTGTCTAAATGACTCGGGTAAAGTTTGTAGCATGCATGCTTGTTGTTTTTGTCTGCTAGGAAGTGTCATTTGGTACTGCTTTTATTGTTCTATGAGAAAAGGCGGTTCAGCTCCCTCCAACCAGTGTCACCATTTGTCCAGCTCCAGCCTAACCTTGAGTAGTTCACAATCACCCCACATTCTAATTTTGTTCTTTGGGGGTTAACTGACAGGAGGATAATTCACAAGGTTGCAGCCTACCCAGTGTTTAGAGACTCAAAAAAAAAATCAGAATATAATTCAAGTGAACTAAAATCAAAATGTTCAAGAAGTAAATGGCCTGCATTTGTATAGCGCTTTTCTAGTCCCTAAGGACCCCAAAGCGCTTCACACTACATTCAGTCATTCACCCATTGGCATGGCAAGCTACATTGTAGCCACAGCTGCCCTGGGGCGCACTGACAGAGGCGAGGCTGCCGGACACTGGCGCCACCGGGCCCTCTGACCACCACCAGTAGGCAAACATGGGGTTAGTATCTTGCCCAAGGATATTTGGCATGCAGCCAGGAGGCAGCCTGGGATCGAACCACCGACCTTCTGATTAGTGGCTGACCTGCTCTGCCACCTGAGCTACAGCCACCCCTTAACACATCATTAAATAAGTCCTGGAAGACTGCAGGTGCAATTGTGATCCAAAAAGCCATCACAAGATCTTCAAAATGTCCTAAACATGTGTTAAACACAGCCTTACATTGATCCTCCTCCCTGATATGGACCAAGTGTAAAATGTTTCAGAGGTCAAACACTGGAGAGCCTCCAGAGCAGATCTAACGAGTGGCAAAGGATACTTACTCTTCAGGTTACAGTAGTCAGTGCATGGCCTACATGTTTTTTTTTCTTCTTGGCTGCAAAGGGCATGACACTGTGTTTTTTTCTGTGTTTTAAATATGTTGCACTATTTTGCAGTGAAGGCAAACAGGAAATAAGTTAGCGGGCAGTGTAGAAGTGTGATCACTGCTTGTTTCCTGATCTAAAGCAGTACTATAAAAGAACCCCTAACAGCTCAAGCAGTTATTCCTGCACACTGAAAACTGCAGAAATAAATGTGAGTCTTGCTTGTTGTTCAACCTCAAGTTTTTTTGTACTTTTAGTGATTTCATGCTTAACTAAAAATATGATTTAACCAGCTCCTGACACATGAGAAGAGAAGCAGTGTATAATCCTTCTGTACTGCCATCTCAATGCCAACGTTGGCTTCTGATTGTGTTCCAAATGGGAAACCTGTAACACTATAACAAATTTGTCATTGACAAAGGCCCAAGTAATGCTAACTGACCTGAAAATCAACCTTACACTCATTTGTAGCATTCATTATGAACACACCATTGTACGTAGCGTTGTATATTCAATAATGTAATATATTCAGGAATTTCTTCTCTGCACGTGGATATTTCTTCATAAATTGTGCACCAATCCCATGTCACAAGTTCTTGATAAGGATTATATCCAGTTTAATGCTGGTATAGAAAACAGCTTATAATGTTCAGAGTAATGGGTCAGTTAAGAGTCAGTGTTGGATTGCATATGTAGGCTAAAGATGAGAGATGACGTCTAACAGTGGTTTCTGTACTTGCATGTTAAGCTTTCAACTTTGTCTTCAAAGCTGCAAGACTGTAGGGGAAAGCAACCTGAGACAACTGTACACTGAATAGAATTAAACTTTCAGTAAACTCCTCCAGAAACTAGCATGTATAAAGAGAGCTTTACTGAAT